CATAAGTAGTGAGAGAAGCTATTTTCTAGCTTTACTGTATGCATCTGTGCACTCATTTCTGCCAATGCATCATTACCAGTCATCATCCATCATCTGATCAGTCCTGGCTGGATCAGGAAGAGAGAATGCATTTGCCTGTAGCACAACTGGCAATTTAAACTGGGACCCTTCTAGAATATTTTTAAAATATACCCATAGAAGCTACACATACCTTTATTATTCCCTTGCTGCATTTTTGCTATAGGGTGATTTTGTACTCTTACAGCTATGCTTATGCTATAATGGTATGCTTCCCCTGTATCAAACAGTCTTTTGAAAGGCAGGTTGTTCAGGCCAGGAATAAAGAACAAAATGAACAGGTTTACAGTCCTGCAGTGGTTCCAGGGATGCCTTCTTTAGCAGCATGAACCAGTAGTAGCACAGTATGTAGTTCAGATGAATCTGCCTTGCTTCTCAACAAGAAAAACTAGCCAGGGCAGAACATACTGCTATCACAAATGTAATAGTATAAAATTAGCTATCAGGTGTACCTCTGCGAGGTACAAGACAGTGTAATAAAGGCTTTCTCTACCTAACAGGAAAGTACAAGTAATCTTCTTGATCAGTACTGTCTGCAAAGTTAGCAGTACTGGTTCATGTGTAAAATACAGCATTCTGCTCTAACAGTCTTCCTTTTTCCACTTTAATTTGTTGCTTTGTGGAAGACCTGCCTTATCTGATAGAAGGATGAGGGAATCTGGTATCCAATCAGTTCATATTTAAGCAATTTTCAAATATTGGCGATTTCTTCTTCATTGTAGGAAAAATGTCTTTAGAAATTCCTCATAAGTATCCAGTACGCTTTCATTCTAAATAATAGGTATTCTTTTTCAAAACAAATTACACAGCAATACAAGATCTGGGGAACAATCAAAGAGCTTTTGCTCTTATGCAGAACATAATGAACATCCCAACTGGCCCCAAACCCCACACAAAATGTCTTCCATGTAAGTTGGCAAGTCTAAACTAGTCATTGCTTTGTGCTTAAAAAATAAATGCAGTAAGTAATTAAAATAAGCTCTCTACATCTGTCTTCTTGGTTTTACTTTGAAGGACAAACTAGAACAGTCAAAGACAGAACTTCTTAATTAATGTCTATCTTCACAGATCAATAATATTTTTAAGTGTTGATACGGAAAAGTGTTTACAAAGATTGCTCTGCTGCACCTCTAGTTTAATGGTAGTTTATTTCCTTCCTGTCAGATTGCCTTGCCTGCTGAGAAAACCTTTGATGCCGACACACCTTCAAAAGATCAGCAGGGAGAATATTCCTTTATTACCTAGGCACTATAGATGTCGGTTCTTCTATAGGTCTCTTTCCTCTCAGATTTTTAGTGTTTAGACTTTCTATGTAGTCTTCATTTCCTTTTCATTCTGATGAAATCTACTACAGCTTTGTTTCTTTTTCAAGGATTTTGCTGAATTTTTTATTTCCAGCAAATTCTTCCATCTGGTACTACCCTTCATCTTTAAAGAGTTCTGTGCTGACTGGGGAGGAAGAACCCGAGCTAAAGTTCACAAGAGCATAAAATAGCTCTGTTTGTTTTGCAGATTTTCCTACCCTACAGCAGTCATGACAGCTGCTCCCATAACAAATGATTAGAGCTTACAAACAAGGCAGAGTTGCAAAGGACAAGGGATTTCAAGGAGCCATCCACAATGTAATTTGCAGATAGATAGCTATTTACAGTGTCTACTGCAGTATTTACAGTGCAAAAATGGATATGAGATCCTTTAGCATTCCCTAGCCATACGGATCTCATCTATTTTTGCTCTTCTCAACCCTGTATTCCTCATTCATCCCAAAGCACACACAAGCATACATAAAACTGTCTTCTGTTTGGAAGCACATTCCTAGGAAGTCTCGCAAGGACAAATTCTGGGAAAAGGCACAAAACGTGGAAGCAAAATAATTACACAAAGTAGTGTTTGCTAATTGTTTTTGGCACTGGTGGTGGATTCCAGTGAAAAATTTCTACCTCTCTCTGACTAGAATGCCATTTGATTTAAAGGTGTAATAACAAATATTCTGACATAGAATATCTACTTTCACAGAGTAATTTATTTTCTGTACATTAACCAATTTACTGCAATTCTGGCAAAGTCTTTCCAGGCTGCTCATAGATGAATGGTAATAAAATAAAAATTTCTGAACAATCAGCTAGTTTAGACACCAACTTCAATAGAAGTTCTGCATCTAACCCTAAATCATTCACAGTAAAAGAAAAAAGTGGTTTCACCAATTAATAAATCATATCACAGAAAACATGACAATGTTTTCCCTAATTGTGGCCAAATTTTGGTCGTCCTTTCCCTGATGTATTTTATCTGCAATTGTAAGTTAGCCCTATATTGATTTTTTGCACATCATCTCATGTGGCCTCACCTGAACTTTGGGTGAATTACATGCATATACAAGAGCACAAATCTGTTTCAGAATTGTCTCACTGATAGGTGAAGTTTTAAATGTTTTATTAAACAGTAAATTACAGCAAAGCTGGTTGTCCTTTTACTTGCAGCACTGTAAATCAAAATTTTAATCAATGATGCCATATAGTTATAGCAAGGACCCAATAAAAAAGAGAGCCAAAACCAAAAATGTGTTCTCTCCCACTTTGGTGTGCATGTGATAAACCACTTGTAAATTATGCTCTTTACTGTAAGTTTGAAGTCAAAAGGCTTTCATAGTAAATGACACAAAAGTGCTACCAACATACTGCTGATATATTAACCCCAGCACAAAAGATTATCTGCTTTTTTTGGCTTTTCCCTAAGGAGATCTTCATCTCTTTATAATTGAGCATGTTACATGAAACTTTACCACGGTGCATTAATACTGGGGTAAGAATAACGTGCAAACTTGCTGAGAATGTCCTGATTTTAAAAATATTGCTGAAAGGAAAAAAAGGCCAGGAAGAATGGGGTCCACAGTGTTACATGTTGTTTGTATCTGTGCTGTAGCATTTCTAGATATGCAGTATCTGCACATGTCAGATTCAACACATGGGCTAAATTCTGGAGGAGGAACTTTTCAGATTTATTTTTTTTTCAGTGAAACAAAATACAAGTAATGTGAGCACAGAAAGCATCTGGTATTTATGCAGAGAAAATTTTTGTGCTATTTGTGTCTTTCTCACATGGAAGATTGACAATCACAATAGTCCAGTTAGATGAAATTATTTTTAATGAGAGTTTTATAAAGTGTTTTTGGAATAATTATGCAACTTGATTTATTCTTTTGGTCACAGAAACTTAGTTTGCATTAGGCAACCTGCCCTATGTTTTCAGTGTCATTTGTGATTTGAAATACTCTGACTGGGCTTGCTCAGAAACTGCAAGTTATCCTACAGTTTCATTTGAAGATATCAGATTGTTTTCCAAGGCAAACAAGCAAGACTCAGCACCTCAGACTAGTGACCATCTTTGAAGGGAAAACAAGGGAAAAGATTAAAGAGCAAATTTGCTTTTCCTTTAGAGAAAACAAAACAAATAAACGATAAAAAATTATATTATTCTGAAAAGATATGATTATTTTCCCCAATAATACTTCTAAAATAATGCCAGTAAGAAAAAAATAAACAGCCTTGTAAAGTTGCAGATAAAAAAGAGAAATGGAAAGTTTCTACAGAAGAGCTGAACACCTGTACAGAGGTATTGTGTCACTAATCCCTAGTAGGGCTTCAATTTTAGGTCTGTTGTAAAAAATCAACCATCTCTTCAAGCACAGGTATTACAGAGAAAGAAAACTTAAATGCTTAAATAAGAACTCATAGAAAAGCACAAACATTATGTCAAAGCTGAATAACAAAATGAAAATTGACATAAGAATACACAGCAATGTCAGAGCTGACAGTGTGAAGAAGGCAGAAAAGCAGGTTAAAAGTGGTTATGTCTTTCTTATTCTAGCTACTACAAGGTAGAAACTGAAGTCAATTTGTGTGAAATAAACAAGAAGAAAAATTAACATCAAGAGTATTAATAATATAACTAGTAAAATCACAACAAAATTATTTGCAGAAGGAATCTGCTATCAAGAAACAAAGAGAAACAAAGACAAGCAAATGCACATGAACATTCCACGCCATGTCAGGGCAGGGAAAGCAAACAGGACTACATAAATGTGTGAAATGAAAATCTATTTTGACTATATACTGACTATGTTCTGACTCTATACTATGAGTGCTGCTCATACAACATCTGTTATACGTGGGGACAGTCCTGGCCTTGCTAAGTGGCACCGTGAACTTCTTTCAAAACAGCAGCCTCTAAGTAAAGGATGGCAATGAGAAATGGTAACCTATGGGCAACTGCCCCTTCAGAAATTTTCCAGGTGACTTGGTGAAGATAAATGGAAGGAAAATATCAGAAAGCCAAGCTGTTCAAACTTATGAAAGTCTGAAATTAAGGTTGTACGTTTAAATTAATTCTTCTCTCTCCTCTGTTTTTTTTTTTTCCACTGTTACACAATTAATTACATAATTACATTCATTTCAGCCATCATGTTCAACAGATTGCAAGTTACTGCTTTGAAGAGAATGATCCTCCATTCATTTCCTTCAGGTGCTGGAAGGATTATGGTAAATAAAATGAGATACTACAAGGAAGAAAGAACAATCATACGGCTTAATAATTTTGACTGTCTTATGGAGTATTAAGTTTTATCCCTTTCTCTGCCAAAAAGATCCAAGAGGAATTTGGACAAAACACTTGAACTGAATCTTTCAGAAATCATACCTAATCGGATATAAATTGCAAAACCACTAAGAACACACTTGCAAAAACTATCAGAGTGATTAGATTCTTACAAAATGCTCTGTCTAACTAAGTACCATGCAGGCCTCTGAAATTTTCTGAACTACAAACATCATATTGTGCTGAATTAGCAGGCAATAATGAAAACAATGAATGTTTCATGAACTTTGAAAAATGTGGATAAAATGTAGCCAATGTCATACACTTACCTCATATGAAAGCATATGAATCAATGAGAAACTGTGTCTTCAGAGCCAGGGTCACTCAGCGTGTTAGATAAGGCTTGCATATTGAAAAACAAAAGCAAAATATCAAAGATCAGTGCCTGCTGTTTCTGCAGGGGACTGAATGAGTCTGAGGGGTGCTGAGGAGTGGGGAAATTCAGAATGTAATCATCCTCATACCTTCTGTTTCAGTATCTTTTATACGTAGATTGCAGCTGATACATTTAAGGAATTAATAATTATTCAAGTCAGTGCATCTCTTGATGCACACAGGATGAGTTAGCAATCTCCTCTTATCTGCAAGAGTTACGGATTGTTTCTTACCCGCTCCATGCTCTCTAGATTGGTTGCCAGCCAAAGTCTTACCATCATACAATTTTATTTTTGTAGGCTCAAGTCTCACTGGCTAAGAGATTCGATGCCTGTTCAATTTAAAATTTTTCATTTCTCCTTTTTAATGTTCTTCCTTATAGTTTCCTGTTATGCTTCGAGGTCAAGTGTAAAGATCAATAAAGCCTGTAACAAACAAGCCATAAAGAAGCAGTCTGTACTATTTATTGGACCACACTTACAATAACTCCATATATGAAAAGCATGCTAAAAATGTTAAATTGTCTGTAAGAGAACGATTCAAATTACTAACAGTCTCATTTATTCTGTCTGGAAAGTTGGAAACTATATATGAATGAACAAATGATACAGGATGTTTTCTACTTAAGAGGAGTGTTTCAGAGTTATTTTCTTTAGGTATCAAATTGCCAAACCAGAACATCTCAGTCATGGCAAAGCTTCATGTACAAAGAGTTATAATTTAAAATTAAAAAAAAAAGTGAAACACACTGCTTTTCAACTATAAACATATAAACTGAATTAATTATCCTGAACATTTTTCTCAAAAACTGTATACAAGACACCATCATTTATTCCATCTAAAATGAAAAAATCTGGATTATTGTAAGTAGTTGAGACTAGATAATGTGAATTGAACTGATCTTTAGTGACCTCTGACAAGAAGTTTCATCCATATGATTTACTTCTAAATGAAATCTTGTATGGATTAAACTGGAATTTTGGTTCAAATCCAGATACCTTCAAGAAAAGACATTTGCTAGAAACTGCATGGAATATTAATGTAACACATACTGACTGTGGGTTTGCTCTAGATGCAAAATGAATGCGCTCTTATTTGTTGTCAGTTGAGAATCTGATAAAAATGTTTTTTTTTTCTACTGAATTAATCCAGGGAGCCATCTATATGTGCCCATCTCTTATCCTGTTGATACAGGTATGCCATTTTATAGGAAAAATAAAGGAAAAAAATAAAACATGCAAACTTTTGGTTAGTGAGGGTTTCGGATTGTTGGTTGAGTTTATTTAAAAAACAAACAACAACAACAACAAAAAACCCCTTGTGTTACATTCTCGATCTTTCATGTTCAGATTAGATATCAAAGAGTAAACACGACTGATTCACATGTATGTAGAAATGAAAAATAAATATACAAACAAAAAAGCTTTCCTGTGCACATGGAAAGCACTCCGCATGTATTTCCATAGAAGACTCTGCAGAGCAATCTGAAACTAATGTTCATCTGCTTTATCTGAGAACTAACACATTTGGCTCACCTTATTTCTTCTTCTTCAATCAAAAAAAGTCAGTGGAGAAAATTTAATGGAATAATTTAGTCTCCTTCCATCTTATATCTAAATATAGTCTAGAATAAGCGTTAGTGCTAAGGGAACCTGTGGATGGGCAAGAAAGTTAAGACTACCACAGTCAGGAATTTAAACACTTAAGTGTTCAATTTGTTTTGTTTTGTTTTGTTTTAACACTATTAAACATAAAAGGAATAAAAAGAAATATTTCTTGAATTAAAACAAAGAGAATCTCACATAGAAAAAGAGAATCACCTAACTGCTCTGTCAGAGGAAGGATATATTGCCAGGTAACAGATAATGGACTGCACCAGATACGGAAAGATCTAGCCTGTTAACTCCCTCTTGGAGGTACACTGCCTAGTGGGGAAAAAAAAGGAAAGGAACAATAGACTGGACACTATTTAGAGTGAAGGAAAAATGGCAAAATCAATTATCTCTCTCTGAGTAGGTATTTTTTCCCAATGCTTGATTTATTAGTTATAACACTTTCAGAGTACATCAGCAGTACGTTAACATAGAAGATTTTGCTAGGCTGTGGCCAGATCTTGCATCTCATCATCTTCTCACCCACAAAACAGAAAGCCAATAGAGAAGTCTTAAGGTAATGACAAGAATAAAACCAACAGCCAAGATGCAGAGCTGTCTAGTGTGACCTTGTCTTGGAATCATAGAATCATTTAGGGTGCTAAAGTCCCTCAAAATCACCAAGTTCAACTGTATACCTAATACTACAAGTCTACTGACAGACCCCAGGTACTACATCCACATATCTCTTAAATACTTTCATGTATGGTAATTCCCTGGGCAGCAGGGAGTTCCAATGCCTAAGCATTCTTTCCATGAAAAAATTCTTCCTGATACCCAATCTAAGCCTTCTGTGGCACATATTAATTTCATTTCATTATCTCGCATCCTTTAATTTGTTTCCTGAGAAAAGACACCAGTTTTCCCTTCTTTGTTACCTCCTGCCAGATAATTGCAGAAAGCATTGAGATCTCCCCTTTGTCTCTCTTCCTTCGGAATAAATAGCTCCAGTTCCCTCAGCTTCTTCTCTTATGTCTTATTGTTTAATCCACTCATCAACTTTGTTACTCCTCTGGATATGCTCAAGTAACTCAAATCCCTCTTGTAGTGAGGGGTCCAAAACTGGTCATGATATTTCAGATGGGCCACATCAGTGCTGCACACAGAGGATCAACTTTCCCAGTCCTGTTGACTGCACTATTTCTGATGAAGGCCAGGCTACCGTTGGTCTTCTTGGCCATCAAGACATACTCCTGCCTTGTGTTCAGCCAGTTGCCAGAAAGCACCCCTATGCCTTTTTCTGCCAGATAACTTTACAGCTTCTCTCCCCCATGTCCATACTGCTGCATGGACACAAGTGCAAGATCCAGCATTTGGCTTTCCTGAATGTCATAACATTGACTATTGCCTGCTGATCAAGCCTGGCATTATTTAGTATCTATCTTCTCACATACATTGTGGTATTAGAAGAAAGGTTATATTCACTACTTCTGTGTTTGCTACTGAGGTGATCATCACTGTTAGAGTACCACATCCAGATCTACATTCACATCTGAGGAAGAACACCCATAAAGTGGAAAAATTTCAGAGAAAACCCTCCCAAAAAATGAAGATTTGTATAGTTTGAGTTATAGAAAGGTGAAGTAGTTCTTTCAATTTAGACCGTTAAAGATAAACATTGAATTATTGATATAAAAGACAAATACTTAAATATCTCTCATATTTCTCATTAAGTTATAACAACCCCTGAAATGGTATCTGTACAAGAACTGGATTTAAAAAAAATTATTCAAAATATTATATTTGCTTTTACATGTATACAAATCTGTATAACATGTTATCTTGTAATTTTTGATTTCTTTCCTTGTTTTCTAGTAGATAGTGCAATTCATCATTGGGATTGCATACTAACTAATCAATAAAGATAAGAGACTCATGAATTGAGACTACCCTTCTAGGAGCAGCAGCAGCCCACCACTAAGGATATTCCAGTTAAAGTATTTCACAAAAGATCTTTAGTTTCTCCAGCAAAGAACATCGGAGAAATATGAAATGGATCTGAAATATTTGCAGTGAGTTCAAAATTTATTAATCTAAACAGTAAAAAACAACCCTTCAAAATTTTGCTGGTCCCCATAATGATATCTAATATATGGCACAGTACAGAAAGAACTCTGTTTTTTCTCTTAATTTTCCAAAATGCCATCTTGATATATACAAGGTAATGCAGAGGTTCAGTATTTGGCTTTCAGAGTACTAGAGATGAATTTAAAACAGAAATGATAAAGCTGTGACACAACTTAAAATATTTCAACATTTTTTGCCAGTGCATTAGAAATTTCAGCAAAGAAAACCAGCAAACTAACCAGCAATTTTTGTATCCACTGTTTCTACAAATGAGAAAACTGCCAAGCTGAAATAAATCCAATTAATCTTACTTATGAAGTAACCTGTAAATTTACCTCTGTGAGATCTGTTTCATTCTGGGAGCAGTATAGCTTTGAGTATTCATCCAATCTATTTCTCCTACGTATACAAGTAAAACCTGTATGAAACTGATTACAATGTAGCTAGACAGATACATTTTTTAAACTTTTTAACTTTTTTTCCAAGAGTTGACATCTCCAGAAAAGCTCATTTTGGAGCATTTTCAGAGTGCTTTCTCAAGCAATGACATTTAAATGGCTTCTGACATTTTTGAGGATAGGGTTGGGTTTTTGTTTTTTTTTAATGTGAAAACTGAAGAAACCTCCTTTTTTTTTTTTTTTTTTTTTTTTTTTGGTATGTAGAAGCAATCAAGGATTCTTACTCACCATAAAACATGTCAAAATAATGGATGGCCTACTCAGCAAAGAAAATAAAGAAGTCAGGTAGAAACACACAACATTCTGCTAAGAAAAGACTCCTTGTGCAAGTCCATTTCACATACAGCCTTCATGAAAAGCCATACTAGACAATTATTTGGAACTGGTTTATTTTCCCAGTATAAGCCTTTGAAATAAAATAATCTTCTAGTACTTCCACTGGTAATGTTACTTTTCTGAGTGTGTGTGTGCAAAAGAATTCACTTCTGATTTCCAGTTGACCTAGTAGTTAATTAATTACTGCAGATTATTATGAAATCAATAGTAACATGCCATTGCTGATTCACTTCCTATTCATAAATGTGAAGGAGCTTCCCACCCCTTCATTATTTAATTTATTTATTAGAAAGATTCTTCAGTGAGTAATATTTTATGCTGGCATGAAGCCTCTCATTTCTGCATGCCTGCATGCACAAAACAGGAAAGTGGGAATGAGGAAGGACTGCTAACATCCTTTCTACCTCTATAATTTTTGTTGTTTTTGTTTTTTTTTAATCAGAACTAACAAGAGCAACAAAATTCACTCATTCTAACTTGTGTAACCCGTGGCCATACAGCTTTTTTGTACTACTGAGCTCATTAAGATCAGATGCACAAGTACTTCAGGTGTTAGGAAACTCAAAGAGTGACATCTCTGACAACGCTAATACTTGGGAGCAACAGAATAATTGTAGCCTTATTATCTTGCCTAATGTGTATTTGCTTGAGGTTATTTGTCATTATGCCTACTTGAAGAGCACCTTTTCTCAAAGGCAGGTCTTTGTTATCATAAGTACTTCTGGCTTTCTGGTAGCTGAATTTTTTCCTAGGGTTGTTTATGTTTTCTTGATGTGACTTCTTACTAAGAATAAGAAAGAGTAGACATGATACATTGCTGCTTGAGCTGAAAGATTCTTGTAGCATGGAAGCAATGTCTCAGACGTACCGTCTCATCTGCATTGGCAGCAAGAAAGAGTGGTGAAAAGAACAGGTACACAGATCTGGAGACAGACAGACATGCTATGAGGCCACACTGTCCTTGCTGCTGGACTAGCATAGAATGCAGAAGCAAGTATTGAAGTTACAAAAAATAAAATAATCTCAGCATAATTGTAAAGAGATCTATGTCATAGATAAAATGCTTGGAAAAATCAGAACTGTAACTCAAGTAACCGTATTCTGAAAATAGCTCCTTTCTGGGGATGTTTTTTTTCAGTATCCTTCATCAACCTTTTTGATGTTTTTAATTCATGGGTGGCAGTTCAAAGCAACTTGACAGTCATTGCTACATTCTGATTTTTAGTTATTTAGATATCTTAAGAAATTAACACTCTATATGGTGATTTGTGACAAATACAGCTATCAATCTATTGTTATAGACTTTCAGTTGCTTTTTTTTTTTGGTATACTGAAGTCTATGTGAGTAGTACAATGTCTGTATTTTCTGTCCAGATACTGCAGCTGAGTGGGGTAACCTACAAACTTCTCACAGCTGACAGTTCAAATATGAAATCACAGATTTCATCTTTCAGCAGCAAATATGCCTCTGGCATCTTTCTTTTGCATTTGTCAGTCATGAAGCTGTACACCAGATTCTGAGAGAAGAGAAGCAGCAGTGTCACCACAGGAGATATAAAAATGTTGGTCTTCAGGGATTTGAAGGAGAAGTTTGGTTTCATAGATAACAGAAAATGCTTTGCAGACTTTCCATGGAATTGCTCTATTACCTCAGTGTTTGACATCCAAATGTCTTGAGTAGTCCACTTCTTGCACTGAATATCCTTATTTCAATACATTTTTACTTTCCTGGACAGGATTTACACCCTCTCATCACAGAACAGACAATACACGCAGTTGCATTTTTAAAATGATCTAAAGCTTCTGATCTGTTTTTAACCATAATCATTTTAAAAGAATAAACATAGTAAACCAAATTTCTGAAACAATTGCTTTAAAAAGCCTTCAGTCTACAGCCAGGTCAACGGGAACAGAGGTTCATGAATTTTGATACAGCTCAGAGCTCTGATTTATTGGAGGCAAGTGGCCAAACAGATGAAGCTGCTTGGAAGTCTAGGTAAAAGGTATTTCTCCAGGCCCACTTTATGCTGCACTTTCTTTGCCTTGTGCCATGTTTTTATCTGGAAATCAAATCCTGGGGTCTGCCCCTCCTCGCCCTCATTTAAGGGTTAGCAGCTGAGGGAGAAGTATCTCTCTGGGTTGAGGTTATATTTCACTTGATCTGTCACTGATCATTGGAAGTCATTGGAAGGCACTTTTTCTTCTTGTCTTCTATTGCTCCCATAGTGCTTTTCTCAGTAGAAGGCACTGTCACTGCCTTCTTTTGCCACATACCTCCATAGAGGCTCTTCTGTATAATGGTCAGGAAACCAACTAAGAATGACCAGCTAAGTGTTGGTAGAAACATTCCCTTCTCTAGCTGAAAAACTTTTAGATCTTTATCTGTACATGGATCTTGGAAATGAATCTTGTTTGGAGTACTGATTTTATTACTCCTTTTTCCTCTCCTATCTCCCTTGGTAGCATACATTTTATTCCCCATTGTCTGCAGAATAATATGCTATGATGAGAAAATGGTCTGCTAGACAGGGTATAACAAAGTTTATGATGAAAGTTGTATTTATAGACCAAACATATATATATACATATATATATAACCTGAAATACTTCAGGAGAAATACCTGGCTCATACACCTCATACACTCTAGGTACTGTTTCGTGCAAATAAAATTCTCTAGTACTTCCTTGGTCTGCAATCCCAGAGGAAACATGAACCACATTTCTTAAAAAGTGGGTTTGCCTGAACTTAACATGATATAAGATGAAGAGCTTACCTCAAGTGTACCACAGAGTCCTGTTCTCTGCACTTCAACAAGTCTGCTGTCTTCATGTATCACTGTGTAAATGAAAGTTCGCAGAGGTGAGAAGGAGTGCATCATCCACAGACAGTAAAAATCTTTAAAGCTTGTAAAAACTGGGTTAGTAGAGATGTAGAAAAACACAAGCAATAAAGCAAGTAAGATTTACCTCCTTCAGGTAAAAATACATAGAAGAAAATAGTGGGTGAAAGTGGGTCATTAAAATATGAATCATAACTATTTCAATAGGGGACTTGAAAGATTCTCAAAATTGTTTTTGTGTTCAGTGCTCTACATACCTGATGCACATCATTAGTTTTTCCAGCACATGAATTAAAAAATATTTTCTATGCCATATCATAGATTAGAGAATTTGATGTTGTTTCAATTAAACATGGTACCAGTTATAATTATTTTGTTAATATTCCAATGAGCAAAGTACTTTAATTTTTGTTGGGAACAAATATGTAGCGTAAGTGAAGATGAATGGGATGATGATTATTAGAAAATAAGACAAATTTTAAAAACTGTATATACTGTAAAAGCACTTAAATAATAAAGCAATGCAATATAGCCTAAGGAACATTTGCAGGGCACATCCAGTTATTTCCATAAAATCAAACTTCTATGTTCAATCCTTAAAGAACTGTTTTTAAGGATGTTTTGAGGTGACACTGCTACTGTACTACCTGCTCATACAGGTCGATCAAGTGAGAAAGTGAACCTTGAAGGTGCTGTGCTAAAAACTTCTAAACACCAAGTGCAGACAAGGACAATCTTGAATTATTTCCTTGTTTTCTTAGACTCTCCATCAGGCTTAGTCAGTTCTGCATGGTGAGTAGTGCTCAGACATTAGTGACAAACTTAATATACAATAAAGCAAGGGTACAGGACAGCTTACTACTTAGAACAGCAGTAAATTCTAGTGCCATAAGTATTGTGATTCTTTGTTGATTAGTGCACAGAGGAGCCAGACTTCCTCATCTAATTGATGCCATACATACCTTCCTCTTTCTCTGTTTTTTTTTTTTTTGTATTCCAAATCTTCAAGACATGAGGTAAGCAAACATCTTTCTCCTATGCAGCTTTCCCCTTGTTTTCCTTTCCAAAATATGCTTATTTTTATGTGCTATGCCCTGTATGAGTATATGCTATCACATGGCTTACAAGGAATGCCAGAGAATCTCTTAGTTGGATTTAGTCAAGTGTTGACCAAGCCATCCAGCCTTTCAAAACAAAGCCTTTTAGTGTGCCCAAATATGGCCAAAGTGGGAGATATACATAGGCAAATAGGCACTTAACATCAGATGTTAGGATATCTTTTTCAAAAAAAACCCACAAGGATTAAGTCAAAAAAACATCTTCATGTGAAGACTGAGGTCTACAAAAAAACAACAACAAGAAAAACCATGCACGCACACACAAAAAACACCTTTTGCTATATAATAATGAAGACTAGATGAGTGCATATGTGTAAATGCTGAATCCAGCATTCCAGAATTCCAAAATTCCAGAAAACAAATTTTAAAAATGAGACTTTACAGTATTTGCTACCTATTTCCAGAGGTACACTATAATGCAGTCCAGAATGGTCTCAGATACTAAAATCATATGTTTCTATTGCACCAGAATCCAGCACTGCTTCCAGTTTTCTTCAGACTGTCTCAGTAATTTCTCCTGAAATTGTGAGGTTTGAATCTTTCTAAGTTAAATTAAGGTGTCACTGTGCCATTATATCAGGCACTGTACATTGTAATGTACTGTTTATCATTTTAACAAGTACTTCTCTTTGGTAACAAAGCCCACAGACTAGGAATAAAAAGTACTGGGGTGCTAGGAAATCTTATGGGCTGTTGAGTCAGTAAGACATAATGATCCCAACGAACTGACCTCAGGAACATCAAATAACATTGTTTGAATCAGCTGTAAATATCATTTTATATGGAGGAGGTATGTTAGAGTTCTGAAATAAGATCTCCATAAAGAGCAGCAAGCTATGCATTTCAAAGTGGCATCCTGATGATTTTGGCTCACTGGGGAGTAAGTGATCAAACATGTATCAACAGCTATGATAAATGGAGTGCAGGTAAAATGACACATTTTAGCAATACTGCACTTCTTAAAAACAAGAAGTGTCTGAAGGCAGATTTAGTCCACATTGAATACTTGGCCTTCTGTCTCTGCAGCTAGTAAAAATTCACGTTGCAAATAATCACTGACTTAAAGACAAATTCAAGTCTTCAAATAAACTCTTAATCACATGCCTAATTCTGTTTGCTCTTGCTATTTATACATGTATTTGCAAATTTTATATTTATGTGTCACACATGAGCTTTTGAAGTGGACTCATAATGGCGTGCAAACAGGAAGTGGTTATATCTACTAATATTGAAAGATTTGAACACAGATCTTAAGATCATTTCAGCGTTTCTCCAGTAGTCACTGCACATTAAGTAGCATATAGAAACCACCTGTTGAATCTGTTTCTCAGTATTGACTAGAATTACTTGATTACGAGTAATTGATCCTAAGGAATTTTCTTTTATAGTACATTGTGACTCCTTTACTGTTCTCTAACCAGAAAAAAAAAGTCTGAGGAAGCAGAGAAAAACTGAACAGACCATGCAGGTTGAAAGACCTCTGAACAGTCATAGAAGAACATTATACAGCAAATGAAAAGAAAAAAACACTCCACTTAGTGAGTTCCTTTTTTGTGCAATATGTCAGGCTCTTACTTGTTACAGTAGAAAACTCAGTAGGAATGCAAAAGCTGTAACAAAGAAAAACTCATTCACTACAAAGAATATCTTGTAGTTGGATACTCACACATAAATAGTATTTCCAAAGCATTTTGCTTTTAACTTTGAGATGCTGAAGATTGCCATGGGAACAGAGGTGTCAGAAACCAGGAATTTTCTTTATCAAAAGACCACAGGATAATGGCAACTTTAAACTTGCTTCCTTCAGTTTCGTTATTGGTTCTACACTCTGTCTACAAATCTGGGGAATTTCTCTACACGGAAAGGATCCTCTAACTGATTGAAACCAATAATGCTCTGTCCTTTATTTTTCCTGACATCTTTTCATTTGAAGCACTGTTGAAATTTGCTCAGTAGAAAGTTAAAGTATAATCTAAGCAGAATACAGCGTGGGATGCAAAAGTTTTCCAGTGATGTTCTCTGGTAATAAATTAATATATTTATGAGGATTACATTTATCACAATAAAGGTGCCTCATTTCCTTGTTCTGTCATGTATTGATACTCCATGTGAGGATTTCAGGCACTTGAATTTACAAAGAGTTATGTTTTAAGGAATGGAGGTTTTGACTAAAGAGAGATGCAGTTCATTTAAAAAGTCACTTAGAAATGTACAGCCTCACATTAGCTACAAGTGATATACCCATAGACTTGCCTGCAAGGTGTCTCAGACTTACTGAGGCTGCTCAGGAAATAGAATGAGGTGTGGTTTCAGTAAAAGCTGAGCTATACCAAGGGCCTTAGAAGGTGGAGAAATCAATGTTTAAAGCTGTTTCTGCTTCTGAATTTAACGAAACTAAAATCTTGCAATCTTCCTCTGTTTGAAGCTATTACGCTGCCCATAGTTTCTATTTTAAAAACTCAGGAATCCAAATGCAGATGCTTATGATAAAAATCACTCTTTCTGCTCAATGTTTTCACAAAACCAATTCATGTCAGTGGGAAATGCCAATATACCAAACCTCTTCTAAAGAAAGTCTAATACAAAACCGATCTATCAGTTGAGATGACAGCACTCAAATTTCAAGTCTGGAGATAGTCTACATATCGTTGTTAAATCTCAACTTGAGAAAGCATGCAAAGGATACTTGAAATTGCTGTTTAATAACATACAGTAAATAAATTTCTTAAACACTGGCTATTACTGTCTTCAACTGCAAATACAATGAATTCCTAATAAAAAAAGAAAAGTAGGGGGAATTTTAAGTGAAAAGTAATGAACAGCTTTCCACCAGAAGATGGATGATAAGAAACAGTAGTCAATAGTCCATTAGCAAGTCCATTATAACCTTGGAATAGAAACTTGCCTTATTTTAGAAAGCTAAAACAATTGTAAGTGAATTTTAACAACTGAATAAATGCACATGCTAATCTGAAGTTACATAAATTATATAAATTAGCCATGTCTTGTACTGCACAAAAAAAAGTTAGTAACTCATTATCAGACCCATTATCAAACTCCTCATTGTGAGTACACATACTTTCATTGCTAATGTGTCAGCATTTCCATTACAAACACTTCTTTTCAGAGGCTTAAATATCAATCGTACTGCTGAAATTCTGCTTCAATTCATTCATTCTGGAAGATATTTTTATAGATGGTTTTAAGATAGTTAAAATGCCACCACTTCTATATGTGAAATAATAACAGTTATTATTTTATATAATTACCTCAATTTCAAACATTCCTTTGCAATTACAGGCATTCAGTCACCTAAACAACTCAGCTCAAAGCTGTCAGGAAAATCCTAGCCAAAATTTTTTCAAGACCGAGACACTGAAAACATGAGGTGAATGTGAACTTTCTCATTTACTAAATCAAGTTATTCGTTAAGAATATGTCACTTCTTGCAAAATGCCAGTAGTTACTGTAGTATCTATAATCCAAATTAATCAAATGAGAAAACTAGACTTTATTTTGCTGACTCCTGTCTCGTAGACGTTGCCTGTAGGTACGCTATTGTAACTATTTATGTGTAATTATGACATCATTTAAAATACCTTCTTCATTTCATTTTACTTGGAATCAGGAAGCTTTTTTTGAAGCTTTGTGCTTCAAAAATACATCTTCAAATTTCATTTGGGCCTTGTGAGTTTAGGGGACTTTTACTACTTCAGAGAAAAGGGTACAGGTGGAACTCAGGGAAGAATATTGCAGTGTGTCCTCCTCCTTGTTTCCATTTAGCTTCCTCTCCTACTATTTGTTGTTTCAAGAGGCAGAGGAAAAGCAAATTCCGTGCTTTCCTACTTGTCTAAGAAGTCAATGTTATATACAGTTTG